TCCCATCTTCATAGCACACTAATTTACTTCTTAAAGAAAAAAAAAAATGATAGCTTCATTCCCCTGATTTAAATCTCTCTGTGCACTGGGTCCTACTGCGTTGGGATAAAGTCAAAGTCATTCAAGAATGGGTCTTGGCTTACCTTCCTCGCCACACTGTATTGCTCCCCACACCTTTCCTTACTCCATGTACCAGCCCAGAGAACCTGTCAGTCTCCATCCTAAAGGCACAAGGCTCCATCTTGCCTGCAGGTGTTTGTGTAGATTATTCCTTCTGCCTAACCCTGCCAACCCCCCATAAATTCTTACTTGAGCAATGCCTAGTCAACATTCAAGTTTCACCTTAAAATATCAAATGCTCCATGAGCCTCTGGATCCAGTGTTGAGTTAGGCACCAAAAAAAGCTCTACACATAAAATGGGATGCCTGGGTGCCTCAGTTGGTTAAGCATCTGACTCTTGATTTTGGCTCAGGTCAAGATCTCACAGTTCCCTGAGTTCGAGCCCCACATCGGGCTCTTTGCTGACAGCGCAGAGCCTGCTTGGGGTTCTATCTCCCTGTCTTTCATCCCCTCCCCTGCTTGCTCACTCTCTCTCACGTGACTTAACCACAGAACACTGTAACTGCCCATCCCCTCGTCTATAACCCCTCTGGGAGACTGGAGACTGCAAGCTAGGGACTGTCCAACAGAAAATGGTAGCCCTATTGGCCCATACAGAGTGTGGCAAGAGTAAGAACTCAACAAAGACAGGATGATGAAAACATCAAAAGTTAAAATTATGTAACTAAATGTTGTAAGGGTGTGGTTGAGTGTTATACCATTACTCTTTAAGACCGAAATCACAGAAATACAGTAATTAAGCCACATTAAAAAACTTTCTTGGGGCGCCTCGGTGGATCGATCGGTTGAGCATCTGACTTGATTTCAGCTCAGGTCATGATGTCATGGTTGTGAGATGGAATCCCGTGTTAGACTCTGCACTGACAGTGTGGAGACTGATTAAAATTCTCTCTCCCTCTCTCCCTCTGCCCCCTCCCTTGCTCTCGCGGTCACTCAAAAAACAAAAACAAAAAACTTTCTTAAAAATAATCAACCTGTGTTTTGTTGAAACAATTTGGAATCCCAAAAAAAGCTGCTACCTTTTTTTCTCCTGCTCATACACGTATATGCAACTATTTAAAAGGGTAACGAAAACATCCGCAACTATTTAACAAAAACTGTGATATTCTTTTCCTGGAAACCGAACACAATTGTGAAATGCAAACAAAAATTTCTTGAGGAAACAGAAGTAACAACCTGGTTTAAAATAAACATTTAAGCAAGTCTTTATGCCGTATCTTGTTCTAAACTAAACTTAGGGACGCTTGGGTGGCTCAGTTGGTTGAGCACCGGACTCTGGATTTCAGCTCAGGTCATGAGCCCAGGGTTGTGGGATCGACCCCAGTGTTGGGCTCCAAGCTGAGTGTGGAGCCTGTTGGAGCGTCTGTCTCTCTTTCCCCTCTCCCCCTCCCACTGCTTGTGTCTTTCTAAAATAAAATAAACTTAAACCAGATTACAAAAACACATACATCACAAACAAGTAAAATAAAATGTAAAGAAATCTCAACAGAAAAAAACCACAGTGGTAGAAGATAAATTTAGAAATGAGATAGGGACACAAACTATATGCTGCACGGTTCTATTTGTACATGATGGGTCAAAAATGTGTCTCTCAGCGTGCAGGGGTGGCTCAGTCAGTTATGCGTCTGACTCTTGATTTCGGCTTGGGTCATGATCTCACGGTCGTGAGACTGAGCCCCACGCCGGACTCCGTGCTGATCGTGGAGCCTACTTGGGATTCTCTCGTACCCTCTGCCTCTCCTCGGCTCTCTCTCTCTCAAAACCGTGGCTCTCTGCTTACTGGTGGTCTACCACATTCACTATGTCATGTGAACACTGCTATCCTTGTCGTAGAGCCACGGCTTCTCTAGGATATTTCCCACATCTTCTATCAGGACCGCCTTTCTTCAGACACTTCTAAAACCTCATGCTCACAGTCCTGATTATCCACCGCCTCAATTTAGGAGTTTTTCTTTTTAAAAAATAGCTGCGGCTAACACTCTCTAGGATCATAACACTTCCTTTCCGGTGACAAGCTCGTAACTACAGTATCCCTGCCAGAGCACCGCTTGTGACCCCAGCTAAGGTGGCATGCCATACCTGTCACAGGCTGTTAACGCCAAACTGCCTCTTCTTAAGCATATTTCATGTTAGACCAGAAAGCTACGCGTATTTAAAACCGTGCGATGTTATAACAACCATTTTTTTTTTTTTTTGTAAGCATAAAATAGGATGACCGCTATGAAAACTCTGTGCTGGAATAAAATCCAGTTTTGCCTGTACCTAGCTTTCAATCACATCCCGGCAGCTACAACTTCAGGCAAAAGAGCCTAACATCAAAGCACATTTTGATTCACTCTGAATCACATCTTGTCCGATTCCTTTTGCTCTACCAAGATTTATGGACAGAAGCTGGAGGCTTCTATCCTCCAATAGAGGCACTTGGAATACAGTTAAGCGGACTGTTCCAGTGTTTAAAGTGTGATCCCATGAGTCTGCCTCCTGGAGGCATTTTAGACTTTACATACTTGAAAATGAAGAGAATGGGTCAGTCAAAGGACACACTCGAGGTGTGCATGTGACAGAAGCTGGGAAGGGGGGTAACCAGTTAGAAACAGAGAATGGACTGGGGGGGGTGGGGACACTGTAAACCTCACTTTAAAAATACATTTTATAGTAATTACTGAAAGACATTTGCAATAGTACACATGTTACTGTGCTATTTAAATACTGGCCACGTCAACCTAGAATTAAATTCCATTCGCTGTTTTTAATAAAATCAGACATCAATAACTGTATGCTCCCTAACCACTTGTTATTCGCATTTACTTTGAAAAACCATCTATGCCTGAAACTCAAAAGCTAGTGTAACTAAGATTTTTTTTAAGTTTATTTATTTATTTTGAGAGAGAGAGAGAAAGCAGGGGAGGGGCAAAGAAAGAGGGGGGGAGACACAGAGAATCCCAAGCAGGCTCCACACTGTCAGCACAGAGTCTGATGTGGGGCTCAAACCCACAAACCATGAGATCATGACCTAAGTTGACATCAAGAGTTGGATGTTTAACCGACTGAGCCACCCAGGCGCCCCAATAACTAAGATTTTTTTTTAAAACATTAGTGTTCTTTTTTTTTTTTTTTTAAATTTTTTAACGTTTATTTATTTTTGAGACAGAGAGAGACAGAGCATGAACGGGGGAGGGTCAGAGAGAGGGAGACACAGAATCGGAAACAGGTTCCAGGCTCTGAGCCATCAGCCCAGAGCCCGACGTGGGGCTCGAACTCACGGACCGCGAGATCGTGACCTGGCTGAAGTCGGCCGCTTAACCTACTGAGCCACCCAGGCGCCCCAGTGTTCTTTTAATAGAAATCATACCCATCTCTGTCATTACTTTTTGGTCCTTTACATACTATGATATTAATTTTTTTAATACTTAATGCCTGCTTATACTTGCCAAACCGATGTAACTATTCAGAGAACTAAGCGCTTCACTCTTTTATCTGAAACTCGCAAACGGTCTTGTCAACAGATACCACAATTTCCATTTTAGATAGGTAAGGAAACTGAGATAGCAGCCACATCACAAATGCATGCATTGTTTTGGGCAGGTTTATTTAATGATTAAGGGGGTGATGAAGTCATTTGAAATCCGTCTTATTCCACGTAGATCAAATCAATTTGAACAAATCCATAGGTATCTAACTTCCAAACATTCCACACAGGAATATTTTCATGATTGCCTCTGGAAATTATAAACGTCATTCAATTATAATCTCAAGAGCACTTCTGACACACCCCAACAGAGCAACTGAACTCCCCCAAATTTTTCAGAACACAAAGATACCTTGGCGATTATATGAAGACTAAATGAACAAAGCACGCTAGTCTTTACATGTATTGCTAAGAAGATGCCACTTCTCAACATTTTCATTTCTTGAGAATTGCCACCTCTTGAGGCACGCGAATTTCAGCAGATTAGACAAAATGTATTAAGAATTATTCTATCCTGTGAAGCAACAGCACTTCAGAAGTGGTTCATTTTCAAACACTATGCATCAGTAAAAGCCTTCTATCACGACCAGCAACCATAACAAATTTAGCTGAATTCAGTGTCAGTCCAGCTGGAGCTAAGGCATCAGAGGGGTCCATCTCCTACAGACTCAAGCAGGACTCACAATTTTTTTTCAGCTTGAGTTAAATGAAAGAAAATGCAATTCATATTTCCAGAAGCAAAAGTGGCATATTTTCCAGTAAGCTTCTTGTTCTCATTTTACTATTTTAAGAGCTCTGATCACTCCCAGGGTTGCTGTGTGGCAAGATCTCATTTCTGGTGGCTGATCAATTTCCATGGCCTGATGCTTCACCAAAACCGTCTCCAGAAACTGTTTTTACTCGCATTTAGCATCAGGATATTTATACACAAAATACCATTTCAATGGCGTTGCACCAAAAAAGAAACAGCTTGCTCGAATTTCAGTTGACTTTGTTAAAGGAAATTATTTTAAATTAATGTGGCTACTGAACCACTGCCATCCTTAACCTCAGAAAATATATTCCTTCTAATTTTTGCTGTGAACACTTATTTATTCGAGTTAAACTCCAGCTCATGACTGTCGACCATAAAGAGTCTAAACCTTCCTGCTACTATTTCATATTCTTTTTCTAAACAGGGCAAGCACATGTTTGCTGCATTAGTATGCACAGCTAGATCACCACCATTAAGTGAAATCATCTATATATTTTTGGTGGGATCTTTAACAACTTCCACGCCCGTCAGGGAAATGGAACAAGGCTGTTTTGTTTTCAGACAGCAACAATTTGATCTCTGGTTTACTAGATGGCGCTCAACATATTTTTCCATATGTTTTTCCGCAAAGAGAATCTGACATCAGCATGGTTTACCTTTACCAGTGAATGCAGGCTTTTTTCACCAAACATGTCCCAGAGGAAGGTCAGGTCTTCCTGGCTATCCACATGTGGCTGCAGCTGGGCTGGCAAGGCAGCCAACAGCTCATACAGACCTATAAAACGAAAATAAAACACAAAGCGTAATCTTAGAGTGATCTCATTAATTTCGCTTTAAGGTGTGTGTAAATGACAGCTGGAACATGTCGTTTTTACTGGATCTGTATTCTGGGCCATCAAGCAAAACACTTCTCCAAAGAAGCCAACGAATCTTTTGGATTTTTAAATTCCACGCAAGTGTGTATCAACAGGCAAGTTTTTACCTTTGAATTGTCAACATTCTACAGCCATCCAAGTTTACATAACCCGGGACAGAAAATGTCTACAAACGTTCAAGAAAAAAAAAAAAAAAAAAAGAAGAAGAAGAAGAAAACGCATACATTCCTTTCCTTAATCGTTATTACATTTCCCTCAATGTTAGCCAAAGAGTGAAATGAGTCATGAATAGGAAAAACTTCCTTAGAAGAGCAGAAAATTGATAGAGTGGTCCATTAAAAAGGTTTTGTGGTTTCCAAATAGTTCCTAATAACATATAGCTTCAAAAACATTTGCATTATCTAACTTCCAAAATCAAGTTCTAAAAAGTGAGACGGATTAAACCACACTTGGTGTTACTTTGATGTCGTTGCCCGTTTAAAACGACGACGACAAGCTACACAGAACTCAGTTGAAATCTGACTCTAATCTGAGCGTATGGGATACCCCCTGAAAGAGTTAAGGTCAAAGACGGAGGTCACTGGAGGCACTGCTCACTAGAAGCTTCCTTGGGGTAGACAGTAGCACAGTGTTCCACAGTAGCGTACTGCATAAACCATCCATCTCCTTCAGGGGCCGTCAGACGCCTGTCCAAGAAATGTTGCGACAGTGCCTGCCCAGGACTCTTCAGGGAGGTGACCTGGCAGAAGTCAGTATCAACTCATAGCACATGCTTCACTTTCCAGTGGGATTACATGAGGTAAAAAGGACAAACTTCCTTTTATTTCTGTCTGCTGTCTACAAAAACACCAAGACCTCCTGGGATCTACAACACACGGGACTGTTGTTATTCCTGCTCTGAATAAGTGCTGTTGTTCATCAGAGGGACAGCTTTACAAGATATTTAACTAGCAAAGAATCGTAAACTATGGACTGCTGATTAGTATACCTATTATCTTCCAAGAGCATTATAGTATTCTGATAATCAATGATAATTCACAACCAAATGTATGAGTTTTCACTTGGAATGTCAGATCTGTAACTTGAGAGATTAAACTCAAACATTCCTGGAGCTGTATGTGGCCAAAAAGATCTAGGATATCCCAGGAAAAAAAACAAAAACAAAAAACAAAAAAAACAAACTTACCCCAAGTACATTCTTAAGTATTCTTGATGGTTTATGTTTATTCCCTTAAAAACCTGGCATCTCGCCTGAACTAGCTCCTATTCATAATTTAGGAGAAACATTTTTAAGGTGTCTCAACCTAATTCAGTATATAATATAGGTCTCACTTTACACAGATACATACATACCCACAAAATAATGACAACTGCCAAGATCAGTGGTTAAAGTCAGAGGTTCGAATTTAAAATTATGTAAAGAGAAGGTAGAATTTCACTATTTTATTATTGATTTCAGAGGCAGTAAAACTAGTTCCTCACTCCTTGGTAATACGGTTAGTTTAACTAATGGTACTAATTGAAATGGAATATAATTTATGAGGTACAGTTGTTGGGGGAGGTTAAATGAGGTAATATATTAGAACAGTCTCTGGCACATGGTAAATACTCAACCTGTTCCATATGTAACTCAGTGAGCTTCGGCCATTGTTGTTATTGATTATTACTATTACTTGTCATTACTATTATGGAAAAAGCAAAACTCTGGGTCAAACAGACCTAGATTCAAACCCCAGGTCTATACTTCATTATTTCACATAACTTACCTAAGCCGTGTTTCCCTCACATGTTGAAAAAGAGACAGTCATCTATCTGCACATGTAATAAACAAAAAAAACACACACACAAACATGCACACGTACACAAATAAGTGCATGTGATACAGGTGAAGTCTGAAGGTTAATGGATTCTATCAGTGACAACTTGCCCACTGTGATTACTATAGTTATTATGCAAGAGGTTACCACTGGAGGAAGCAAGGTCAAGGGTACGTAGGATCTGTATTATTTCTTACAACACGTGCATACACAATTACCTCAAAATGAAGTTGAAACAAAAGAAGATATTATCATAAATACAACTGTTATAAGAGTTGAAGGGAACCGTGCACATGGCAGCACTGAGCCCTGTGGCTGGCGCAGAATAGGCATTTGATTTAAATACACACACACGCACGCACCATTGCAATGGTTCAAAGTCAAAACAACAGAAAATGTAGGTATACGTTTCCCTGGACACAATGCCAGACTCAGAAATAAAACCACCCCAGTCTTTTACATATGGAAAGTGTTAGCTTTACCCAGTACTGCTTACCTTTTTGTGGGAATAAACCATATTATGTTTAAATTAAAATAATTTCTCTGTTAGCAGTAGCTCATAAACCTGAGTTTTCTGGGTTTTCCTAGCTTCATGCAATCCTAATTTATACGCCACCTAGTTGGGTCTCTAGAGATGACAGCAGTCACTACTCCTCAGCTCCCACAACTGGTAGCCATGGACCGAAGCCAAGAGAGACAAGACAGTGCCCGCCAGAAATGAAAGAGGGTGAGAAGAGCTAGGAAGGTGGGGCAAGTGGCCTCAACGCAGGTAACACGGACAATCATTTCCTCTCATATGCATCACAGGGGTCCCAGAAACCACTGCCGTCCATGGCGAAAACCAGGTCTGTGCTCTCACGCGTGCTTTTTTATATTTTAGCTCCTCGAGTTCCAATACTGAAGAACACTATGAAATTCAAATGTTTTTGGTCCTTGAGATTCAGAGAGCAAGTAATGAGAGTTCAAATAACAAGAGATACCTTGAACAACGTTACCTAAATGTACATGGTCCCTGGTTTTGACCCTGGCAGGGACTACCTCCCGTGTAGTCATTCCAGCCCACGAGGGCTTCATTCCAGGCCACCTTTATGGTACCTATGAACCAAGCACTGTTCGTGGCTCTAAAGGTCTAAGATAAATCAGACACGATCCCCGTCCTCGGGACTGTACAGTGGAAAGGACAGGCACACACAGATCCGTTATGAAGTACAGAGAGGGGTTAGACTGCATGGTGAGGCAAGGAGCAAGGAGACATCAGGGAAGGCTTCAGCAAAGACCACCACCCGAGTTACATCTTTAAGGTCCATGTTCCTAAGAATCAGTATTTATGAATTCTCACATTCGGAGCAACTATATTGGTTCCTGAGGACAGGTAGGTCCAGACTATGCCACCACCTCTACCCCAGAGATCTTACAGCTTCGATAACAAACAATACCTGTTATCTACTCCCCAACAAAAGGCAACCCTAAATATAATGATCTCCTCTATTTGTCCAAGATTCAAAACGTATTTTCTTCTAAGTAAAATAAACAGATGTTCAGGCTGCTGATACAATCTTCAAACACCGAATTACTTGTCAGGGATGTTGATAAGATGCCCATGCCCTGCTTAAAATATTTAAATTATAATTTGATTAGGAACACACATTTTGAATTACGTATTAAGTACAAATATGGTAATTTAGATATTTGGGTCTTGCCCCACTTGCATATTTCATCCAACCATTTTGTTTAACTCCTTCACAATGACTTCCTCATCATCAGTGCCACTTGTAGAGTTGAAGAAGATCATTTTCGCTTCCAGTTACTTGAGACACAACACTTTTTTGAACATGTGGGAGATGTCATCACTAAGGATCCGGGTAAAGCTGTTGCTTTTCCACCTGTCCTGTAGCTTTAGGTTTTTGATCTCCACAACAAAACCACTAACCTATTCTCTAAGTATCTTTAACATTTGCAGGTGTGAGGTTTTTAACCCCTCTCCAAGAAATAATAACGAAGCCTAGTTTAAACTACCTTGTCTCAGGGCGCCTGGGTGACTCTGTCGGTTAAGCATCCGACTTCAGCTCACGTCATGGTCTCACAACTCGTCAGTTCGAGCCCTGTGTCGGGCTCTGTGCTGAAAGCTCATAGCCTGCAGCCTGCTTTGGATTCTGTTTCCTTTGCTCCCTGCCCCTCCCCCGCTCACACTCTGTCTCCCTCTCTCTCAAAAAAAAAAAAAAAAAAAAAAAAAAAAAAAAAAAAAAAATTAAACCTTGAAACTATCCTGTCTCTTTAAAACAAGAACAACAATTCTGTCAAGTGATGTCTCAATGACTCCAAAAAAAAATGGGAATTTAGGTTACATGAGAATAATTGTGGCTTCTCCAATCAACACATTTTTTGTGTAAGTCAGTAAAAGAAACTTTGTCAGGGCTTGAATGTGAGGCAGCTCTCTCTTTTCTGAGAGAGAATTTTAATAGTGAGGGGAAAAACCCTACCTTATATTTGGGTATATATGGTACAAGACAATGTCAAAGATGCATGTGAATAAACTATCTCACAAAAATATTCCAGCAGGGGGGAAAAAAAGCAGTATTTTTGTATTAGGGTATTTTATATACTGAGACAAAAGGCAACAACGGAAAAACTAAAATATGACAAGGGTCATGTGATTAATATGTACAATAATCACAGTGATTTAAAGGAGAGAACGATCGATAAAGGTCACAGAAGGCTATGCTAGAGCTGGCAGGATGTGAGCTACGGTCTGAAGGAAGAAAATTGGGCCCGGAAGGGTGCGTTGCCAGGGTGGATAATACCCAAGCTGAAAGTCAGCAATAACCATGCAGAGGGGTAGATTTTTAAATGCACCAAAATTCTGAAGAAAACACTAGCAAGTACTCAAACTCACATTTCTGCCCTGTACGTTTGCCTCAGTCATGGTCCAATCTGGAGACGAGAGCCGTGCGGTCATTTCAACGGGGAGAGTCTAATATAAATATAACAGAGGATGACGTATAAAGTGGTAAAGCAAAATCTCAAGAATACCTGGGGATGAAGGAGAAGACCCAGGAGGAAACACCACTGAAAGAGGAGCGCTTTCCCCAAGACGAGGATTCAGAGCTGGCCGGAGGTGGTGGGACTATCACCCACCCGGTGGCTGGGTCTCCCTGGGTCCGGGCTCGTCCACTGTCACTGGACCAGCAGCAAACTCCCCTGCAGGTGTGCAGGTGCACAGAAAACCATGGCTGGGACCGTCAAGCAGGAAATGCTTCGCCACAGTACAGGTGGGTGGAGCCTGGGTGACAGGAAACCACAGCCAGGACCGGAAAGCCGAAATAATCCCTGCAGGTGGGCAGACAACTGGGGAAAGGACTGGCAAACAGACAATGCCCCCTTGGGGCTAGCTGGTCAAGACCTGTAAGGTGACCTCTGGGTGCCCGAGTGACCCACCAGGAACTCCTCTGAAGGGGTGTCGCTGAGACTCAAGAGGAAGCCGTCCACCAGGGTGCCACCAGAACCAAAGGGGGTAAGCACCATTGGATGCTGCCCACGTGGGCTGCTGCCAGTCCCATGGGAGGAACAGGAAGACATGAAAAACACCAGAGCAAGGAAGAGACACCTCTTCCTCCTGCAGTGTGCCACTCGTGCCCTCCCCTGATGCCAGCCGCAAGGAAGGATACTTAAAGGGCCCGACTTAACTTTCACAGGGCAGGCACCGAAGTATGGATTTAGGGCTGAGAGGCAATACGACGATACCTTGCCCAGTCTTCCACGTGTAGATGCAAGTGCATGCGTGCACGCATCAAGGGTGGGGCAGTTCTCCTCTTTGCAGAAAGAAGAATGCTGTCTTTCTGCTTTTATTCTTCTGTGACTTTCTGTTGTTTGGCAGTGGGGATACATGAAAAAAATTTTTTTGACGCTTATTTTTTGAGAGAGACAGAGCATGAGTGGGGGAATGGGCAGAGAGAGAGGGAGTCACGGATTCTGAAGCAGGCTCCAGGCTCCGAGCTGTCAGCACAGAACCCGACACGGAGCTTGAACTCACGGACCACAAGATCATGACCTGAGCCGAAGTCGGACGCTCAACCGCCTGAGCCACCCAGGTGCCCCTCCTTTCATTCTTCTGTGACTTTCTGTTGTTTGGCGGTGGGAACACATGAAAAGTATTTAATCAGTGGTTAGTAAAGGTAAAGATTTTACAAATAAGGATTTTCAAAGGGAAACAGTATTGCCTATTTTAGATTTTAGCAGTAGGCTAAGCCTCGACCCAACAGCTCAGTTAGAGGATGTCAATTCAGTCAAAGTTCTAAGTTCAAAGGTGACAAATGAAGAACACTCATGCGTATCCAGAGAGCAGTCTCTCAACTTCAATGTCCTCAAAAAGGCCTAGTGTTTATAAAAGAGGGCAGAGGGCAGAGACAGAGTGCCATTTTCCAACAATTAAAACAACAACAACAACAACAAAACTAAATCTGGGAAAACAATACAAAGCACAAAGAGAGCAAGATCTTAGGAGCTAAGGAAGGCGTTTATGGCAAGAGGAGCTAACTGCAGAGAGAGGCAAAGATATTTTCAGATTTTTAGTTTGGTCACTGAAGCCTACTCCCCCCTTCCCCAATGCTAGATGGCAGATGCTGGCTGTCTGAAATCGTGAAAAATAATATACTAACGGGAATGTTCTGAATATAGACTAAACTGCCACTCTGCAAGCCAAGTTCATTAAGCCACTGCATACAAAGACCATGATCTTGATTTAACTTTACTAACTCACTTGAAGTTAGATGTGCTACAGCTGGCTTCTCTGTAGCTTTACTACGCTGAAGGATGAACATAGATCATCTTCCTTAAAGATAAAAACCGAAAAGCTTACTCCCCCTCACCAACACCGTCTGGTCAGAGTATGTTCTCGAGGCTTTTTGAGCCCTGAGCAACATGAGTGACAGAGGGGCAGTGGTAGCATTTTACGTACAGACTGCAATACTTCGATGCTTTAGCAACTTCAGGTTGTCTTGCGATTTTTTTTTTTTACATATAGAAGTAGTGTTGTAAAGCTCAAGTCCTAATTCTCTAATAATCTTATTATCTTGCTCAAGTCCTAATTCTCTAATAATCTTATTATCTTCATAGTAAAATATACATCACATAACAGGCAGGCGATTGGATCAAGGTCTGGGAACATAGACAGCACCGACCTAAACAGTAAGGAAATGTAACCACCTTGAGTAAACAATTCATCCAAAGTTATGATATATTAATCAGAAGAGGAGCATCTGGCTGGCTCCATCGGGTGAGCATTTGACTTTGGATTTCAGCCCAGGTCATGATCCCAGGATCGTGGGATCGAGCCCTGCATAGCGTCTACACTAAGCATGGAGTCTGCTTGGGATTCTCTCTCCCTCTCTCTGCCCCTCTTCCCTACTCGCGCGCTCTAAATAAAAAATACGCGCGCACGCGCACACACACACACACACACACACTAATCAAAAGATAATTATGAGGAGTCCTCATCTGGGATTAAGATTTCATTACTTCATAAGATTACCCAAATCAGTGGATTTGAATAGTCATTTTAACCATAAAGAAAGGTTCCCGCCATCATAGTCAAAGCCTCTACAGTTTCACCTTGCCTAAACAAACTAGTTATTAAAAATTATGCCTATTTCTATTTTCTCTCCCCTCCTTAATCTATCCTTCCCATCACCAACGAATAAAGCTTCCTAAAATAACAGTAATAATTACTACCAGATGCAATTCCTAGTAGTGATCATACCTAATACTTACAAAGCTAAGGTGGGCACGTGGTTTGCACGTTACCTCACCTAATGCTCTTCATAAGTAGGTTCTGTTACTACCTTCATTTTACAGGAGGAAATGCATTTAGCCTAGAAAGGGGCATTTTCAGGACTTAGCCTCAACTCTGCCTATGTCTCGATAATGAGCCCAATACTTAAATCTCCTACTCAAAAACCTTCAAGAGCTATCTGTAAAAGTTAAGGGCCTGACACCCCAATTACAGAGGGATCAAATATATCAAATAAAAACTAGAGGAAGATTTCATAGAACATTTTTGTCATGTTGGAGTTAAATGCTTTTCTTAGCACACAAAGAACTTAAAAACCAAAAATGACAACGCCAGACTTTATAATAAACAAAATTTTCACCCACCAAAAAAAAAAGAGAGAGGTCTGCAGAGAAACTGCTAAAAATTATTTGCACCAAGAAGGTGATTGAGTAAGGCAGAACAAGGACTGAGGATCAACCATTGTATTTGGCAACATGCAGCTTATGAATTCTGGCATCATGAAGAATGAAGAAGCCTGGATGAAGGGGACTAAAAACAGAGACATGCTGCAAATGACAACTGTAAATATAGATCAGCCTTACAACCTCTTACCAAACAGAACTGGTACTTGTAAGGGAATGGGGAGTGAAGATGTTTTTAACATGGAAAAGAAAAAAGCCCGGCATATTTGTGTGGTAATGGCACCGATCCACGACAAAGAAATTTTACAATGTAAGAGACGGCAGGATCTGCCACAGCAGATGGGCAGGATGGGGGTCTGGTGTACAAGCGGAGGGATGGCATTAGATACAAGTACGGCTGGTTCACCTACAGTCCCAAGGAGGAAGGCAGAATACTCTGGAAATGTGGTACAGGGAACATGTGGCAATTCCCTTATGATCGCTGCCGTATTCAGTAAAGCATGAAACATGGTCACCTGCTGAGAGTGAGGATAGGGAAGAAAGTGCTTGCTTCTGAAAAAAAAAGGCTAAAGAGACATCTGGGAGAATGGGAAAATGAATAAA